CAACAATTTCTTCTTTTTGTAAAGAACTTGCTATGGGACTATAATTACAATCAAGACATATTAATTTAGATTAAAAAAAAAAAAAAAAAAAGAATTGTCATTAATACTAACTGAGTTCTTTGCTTTTTGAAATCTTCAACTAATGTTTCAATGCCATTAATTAATTTGTTATGGAAGTCACCAAAGTGTTTGTAGCTATTTAAAGCCACTCAATACCTTTAGCCGAATTGAGGTCACATTTGATAATTTGTCGTACTAAATCCTCAAATACTTTTTTTCAAGGATTTCGAACACAAAGAAAAAGATATTTCAATTCCTCCAAATAGTCTTGACTAGCTTGATTTTGGACTGCAGTGGATAATGCTGAAGAAGTGGTGGACATAAGCTGTGAACCATCTGCAGCTAGAGTTTGCATCGATAGATTTATATTATTTGCAAGCTGTAGAATATTTGGATTCGCACATAACTACAAACAGATCTGATAAATTGACATTTCACTAAAAGGTGATGGAATAACCATGTTATTGGAATTGAGATAACTGATTGGATTGTTGGAAATATTCGATTCTAGAACTGATGCCTTTCTTAAAGGTGTAGCTATTGGATTAACTGAATGTTGATAGAAAGAATTGAAGTTATTTTAAACATCAGTTCTTAACCCTGGGCTAGTGATGGTTGTCTTGGAAATGCAACACCAGATTCTAAAGTCAGAGATAGTTGTTTTAAAAGTGCTGTTACTTGAAACTCAAACCTTGATCTTAAAGCAGATGATTCGTTTCTTAATTCTAAATCTGGTGATAGTTGTCGTGGGGGTGTAATTATTGAAGATTGAGACAGTCTGCTATTACTTACAGCTTCATAAACGTCTATAAAAAGAATCATTATCTGAAAGTTCATCAATTATTTGTAAAGATGAGGATGCTACTGTTTTTTGTTTCTTTTTTGTGACTTCGGTTATCTTCATCTAAATAAAAGAATTATAAAAATATCATGACTAATTGATAAAAACTAAAGATAATACTTATCTTGTAAGTTATAAGTATTTTTTAAAAGTTTATCAATTATTTGTGAAGACGATAATATAACCGTTCCTTGCTTCTTTTTGCAGTCTTGTTTTTTTGCAACATTTAACTTTA